ACATGCAAACAAACATGCTCTGATAATATATGCATTGCCTTTGAAACTGATTGGGATACACCAGAGACAACCTTCTTTAAGGCCTCGTCTCACCAATGCCAGACCAGAGAACGCCAAAAAGCGAACAGTATAAAGACAATGCCACTATCAGGGCATTTATAGCTTGGGATGAGCAGCTACAAAATGGGACTATTTTGCCAGTATCAAAGTATGAAAAAAAATAGTTGTTTACCCTTTATGGCAATAAAGATGTTCAAACACCAAATGGAAACCTTTTGCAAGGAATCAAGTCTGCATTAACCACACGTACTTGTGGTGAACATGCAAACAAACATGCTCTGTTAATGTATGCATTGTCTTTGAGACTGATTGGCCTACACCAGAGACAGCAAAAGGTTTCTATTTGGTGTTTGAACATCTTAACACCTGTTTTATTGCCATAAAGGGTAAAACCTATTCTTATTTTTTTCATACGTTATTTCTTTCGTATGAGCACTATATAAGGGCCCCATTGAGGTATTGGTAATAGCGCTAATAATAGAGACGGTAAAAATGATTTCGTAAATAGATTAAATTGCTTCTTAGAATAACAGTAAGTATTAAAAGTCTGTACTCACGAGTGAATTCTATTGTACTCGTACAAGGCAGCGGTGGGAGACGAGGTTCTGGGAGCCGCTGTGCTCCCCATCTGGGTCATTCTCAGTGAAGAACCCCAGGACCTCCGTGATCTTCGTGATGCCCTCAGTCTCAAGTTCCGTGGCGAAGGTTTCTTTGAGGTGGTGCCTGAGGCTCCCATCTTAGTCTCGCGAGTTTTCATCTGGCTAAACTGAAATAACATTGACAAATTGTTGATTTAAAAAAAATCTTGACGACGAATTGTGATAATCTTATCGTGGGGGTGGAGGCTGGTTGGTTGAGGACATATGGTGCTCTCATTGGCCAAGCGAATGATTTCCGAGGCCAGTGCTGCGTGTTCTCACTCGTAAGTGCGTTTTAGATTTTTGTATATATTTTTTTTACATTTCCCAAGTACAAAGAGTGCTATAACGAATCTGCGTTCTACGGGGTTGCGTGAAGCGAGGTTTGCCTGTATCGATAGTATTCCTGTCATGTATGTTTTGTTTGTAAACGTTTAGTATTTTTGGACACGCGGAGGCACACTACTTTTTGGTGGTTCCCACAGTGGAGTGTTTAATTTTTAGCATAGGTTCAAATTCTCGAAATGTCATTGCACTTTAATTTGTTGATAATTTTGCTTTTAAAACTGCTATAAAAACATGATGAAACATTCAAAATTTACAATGAACAGTATTTATTTTTGGTTTTATATTGTTCGCTTTGAAGAAAACATGATTTCAACTGTACGAAAACATTATAAGGTCGCATTTATTATACACATTGCTTGCCACAAATGAACCACAATACCTTGCCGATCTAGTCAAAGAGCATAAACCATCACGCGAACTCTGGTCATCCTCGCAGCGGCTTTTGGCTAACCATCGAACAAAGATGATCACTTCATCGCGCGTTCAGATGCGCTTCTGCGGCGGTCTGGAACGCTTTTCCCATATTAGGAAGCCACTGGTGCTACATACATTGAAATATCGATTGAAAACTCATTTCTTTAGAACTGTTTTATGTGTTTTGTTTGTTGTCCTCCCCCTGCACCTCCGATTAGCATGGTTCTCTACGTACGGTGCGAAAGAAGTTCAATATACATACATTTATGCTGGTCTGTAATAATTATTGGCTTAATTTGTACTGGTGTCCAGAAGGGGTTAATCAGAAAGTTACAACGGCAAACAATACAAAACATGATAAGAATGCAAAGTATAAGAAGGGTAAGAAAATCACAAAAAAACTTTATATTTTCCCACGTAAAGCAGCGAGGGATGAATCTGTTTCACCACTCTATAGGCAGGCATTGGCACATGAAAGTTTCCAGAGTTGCTTGTTTAGTGCAAATAACTTAAATGTGTGCATAGCAAATACTTAACTTCTTTGTAGCTTGGCATTTAACATTTTAGTGGGTAAGATTCAGCATACTTGGCTCAACTGAGTATAGCTTGTGTTGTAACATTTTCCACTTGTTTTTATTTAAGATCTAAAAAAGAAACGCGAATGGAAAATTACAATTTTTTGCTGCATCATGCCTGGTTAATCGCAGTAGATACATGACTTGATGCATTTACTACCCTTCGGAGCTAATTTACTGCAATAATGGGTTAGTTTTCTAAGAACAATCATCAGTAATTTTTAGTACAAATAGATTTGCACAACCGCTGAGTGTTTAAAGCGACGTAGACTAATTGTCGTGAAATGATAGGGAAAGTAAGATGTCTCGGTAACGTCAAGAATTCTCGAAACATTCGGTTGGAAAATAATTCAACACGAGAGGAATGTGAGAACCCTTTCTTAACTGTCCCACTGTGACTGTCAAATGTTGACATGGGACTGACCTTCATGTTATAAACTGCAGTATGGGTGGAATAGCTTCTGTAGCAGTTATCTGGCGCCAGTGGCTCAGTACGACATACACATGTCACTGGTCAAGGCTTCATATCAACCCTGGTCAGTATCCCAGCAGGGATGGAGACAACAACTGCGTCTTATCAGTTGTTGGCTTTGACTGCTAATGACATGAGCCATGTTTATTTAATGGGTCAGTGGGGGGTCTGAAGTACTAAATTGACTCGGTATTTGGTAATTAAGTCTTGATCCTGATAGACGATATTCTGATGGAGTGCAAGCCTGGTATGCTGATCACCAAGAACACAGACCTCACTTGAACTTGCTTGACACGTGGACGATATGGTAAATGATTGCTTGGTATGCTGACTGCTATTAGAGTGGGTCCAACATCAGGGCTTTGGCGTACAACGAGACATGTGCATCTTGGGATGATAGAATTGTGACTGTCCGTCGCCCTCTTGTTTTTCTCTCTCAATTAATAAATACTCCGGACCAACTTTATGTGAAACATAACATCAAATGTGTTTGGAGCAAGGCCGTAGCCATGGAGTCAACATTGGGGGGGACCCAAATCTCCAAGGGGGTCTGGGGGTCCCCCCCCCAGAAAAATAAATAAATCTAAATTTGAAAACGAATTTCCTGCCATTTCCTGCCTAAAATATGAAACATTTCACTAATACATGGAATAGGCTTTTTATTGATTTTTACAATAATGTCTAATAGTGTATTGTATTACATTGCTCTGTTTTTACTTTTTACCTTTTCTTGTTTCATTGTATGTAATGGCAGAGATTAGGGATTCATAAAGTACAACCATAACCACAGTCATATAAACAGAAATCTATGCATTGTTATATGAAGACAAGTCCAGATATTGTGGCCAAGGTTTAGCAAATTGTTGTTTTTATTTACATAGCATCGAAATTTATATATTTTGAAATATTTTATAGCAATATATTGGGGGGGACATTTTGAGCATATTTGAATGTTGGCGGGGATGTGTCCCCCCCAAATATATATTATAATTACGGCCTTGGTTTGGAGTGCAATAGTGCAAAAATTATGAAGATTGGTTCATATCTATATATTGGTTAGAATACTTTTGGTAGCCATTTGAAAATGTTAATCGTTATAACTTGATTTATGCTGCTAATAAATCTGGCTATAACCATCATGGATTTGTAATTCAGAGATTGTTTTGGAGAAATATTTTCTGTTTGCGTCACTCTGCCAGTTTACTCAGAGTAAATCTCCAGTAGCAGTTACATAACCCACAGTTCAGCAATTAATCATTCAATTTAACATCAAGACCTTTTTTAAATAAAAACCAGGACAGTGTAAACTAATCAGCACTGTATTAAAAAATGTTTTTTTATGACATTTCACTGTTAAGGAGACTAGATGTATTGTTTGACTTTGCTGGTTTTGGAAAGCAGCCCATTTGTAATGAGCTTCATGAGTTAAATATCGGTAAGGAAAGTATGAAATAACACTTTAATTCTAAATCGGTTTCTTAAAAAAAGAAAAAAAAGACATACATTATTCAAAAGTAGTATCCCGACCAAAAAGTGTGGGCCCATTGGGATTGTGCGGTCTACTACTTTGGCTCCACTGAGTGCTCCTGGTTTTCTTTTGAGTTTTTAAGCATGCATTTAACTCTCTACAAATGTCTCAATTTTATTTGTTTTCATTTCATAGGAATAGTCGGAGGTTGTACCAGTACATGTAAACAGCATTGCAAACTGACTTATTCATGCTAGAATCATATTTAAGTGATGTCGTCACAAAAAGGCATGAACAAGTCCAGTTATAGTTTGACAAACAGACGTCTTAATTCTTTTGAAACTTGTATTATTACAATGAAAGAGTTGTTTTCAAACACTGCATAACAGCCAAGAGCTCTCAGGCTTGAATAAGTGTCTCAGTGCTGCACTATATGTGTCATCACTTTTGTGAATGAATGAACTTGTAAAAAAAAAAACCCAACATGCTAGATCATGAAAATACGTTCCACTTTGAGGAATTTCATGGTATATAAGGAAAAGTCAACATGTTAAATGCTGCTTTGTTAGTCTAGCATGTACCCCTGGATGCACATCTGCTTGCACAGCCCTTTTTCTCAATCCACTGCTGGATGAAGGCCTCCGCACACTGAGTCATGGGCGTTATTGATCGGGCATCACCATGCTGGTTGATGAATGTGGGGAGCATCGTACTTCACAACAATGGATTTTGCTGCACTTGTATTTGCTGGTCACCCCGTAATTCTGCAGCAGCCTACAATAACCTGACGCGCGTGATGGTCACCCATTTATTCACGATCCAGGCTCAATTATGCTTGGCTTTGGAGATCTAAAGATATCAGATGTGCATCTCGTTATTTTGCCATAGGCCCGGTATCTCTGTACAATGAATGTATACTGTTAACCAAATGTTTGAAAATGTCTTCTAAGGGGAAATATGCGGAGCGCGTGAGCATTTTTCTTAGTTCATTTGACATGATGTATGCCGTTTGTTTCACCATCTAGGGACTGGAGAGGGCCAGGGGAAGATCATCCAGCGTTTTCCGGACCGAGAATGGGAGGATACACCGTTCCCACAGGGAATTGAACTGGTATGGACTCAATAAGTCCCACAGAAACCCACTGATCCCCTGAGTCATTTATGATTTTTTTTTTTTTACAATTTCCTGCTGAAATTAGCCCTGAGCCAGTGGTGGAAATTCCACATTCCACTGGTGGGGATGAGTCTAATCCATAGGACAGCCACTGGCTACATATTCTTGGTTCTTTCGGTAAAGTCACGTAGAAGGGAAATAATAAAATAATAACAATATAAAACAATAAAATTCTCACGACGTTTCGACTTTACCGAAAGAACCAAGGATATGAATCCCTGCAGTCACGAAAGCTTTAAATACAAATTTAGCCACTGACTACTTTGTCTAATGGACAAAGTGCAAAACTTGTATGTGCTTATGTAAAGAACATACATTACCCGTTCACATGGAATACCTTTTTTTAAATACATTTGTTCTTGCAGTTTTATAGATGGATATGCTTGGTTAACCTGCATTACTAACACAAGGGTGGCTGCACAGTAGAGATGTCTATGCCTAAATATTTATTTCCCAACACCTGTCAGCACGCCTGTGGTGTTAATTCCAGGATGTCAGTAGCACTGTTCTTGCTGTGCAGTGACACATACCAATCCACACCTCGCTGTGCAAGCGAAACAAAGTGATCTAAAATTTAATTTAACCAAAAACGTGACGCCAAGAATAGGACCATGTGAAATAGACACTTTAATTGCCTTACTGTTTTACAATTACTTTATTATTCTTTTCTCTGCATTTGTAGCCCCATTGTCTCATGAGTTTTAATGAGCTCTTCATAATTATTATAAAAATAATTTATAGGTCTTTCATGATCCACTGCTGTATCGTATGCATGTATGTTGAACTTCTTTCGCACCTTATGTAGCCACCGTGCTTATCGGAGGTGCGGGGGAAGGGCAACAAACTAAACGCATACTGCCAAACCGTGTCGGTCATGGAGGTTTTTTGACCTTCATTAAGCTGGGATGATGTAGTAGAGGGGGAAGATGGCCAGGACTGGTTCAGATCTCACTCTCCGCTGATGTTAGTGTTGCCGAGTACAGTGCACTAACCACTACCACCACTGCTCCACCATTGGAACTCTTACATGGTCATAGATAACTGATACATTTTTATGCTTGAGAATTTTATACTTTAAATGTACAATTTTGTGCCACCAATTAATAAAAGCTTTGCTGATTGTTCATATGTTAGTGTTGCCGAGTATAGTGCGCTAACCACTACCACCACTGCTCCACCATTGGAACTCTTACATGGTCATAAATAACTGACTAATTTCTATGCTTTAGAATTCTATACTTTAAATGTACAATTTTGTGCCACCAATTAATAAAAGCTTTTCTGATCATAAAAAAAACTAAAACCTAAGCATGCACACGTGGTTAATTTATGTTTAGCTGATGTGTGCAGTTTGTGGCTTCTCTCATTCTCATTTCACTTTTAGTGTAGCAACTATTGCCCAGGGTTATCTGACCGAGAAAGGCCAAAGAAATCTCATCTTATTTTTTCTAAACTGCAACACAACATAATTGACACATCTTTTTCTAAATACATAAATCATGTTTTTTGGTGGCTTTGGTGGTTGATAATTTGTGATAGATTTTTGCATGTTGAAATTAAATTATGCCTTCTTGTACAATCAGGGTGGTTAAAATTGAACAGTAATTAATTACGACACGAACTTAACAAGTGTGATATATCATCGGACAATATTTAGTGTCACTCCTACAATGTTTGACAAAACAGTATTTTGAGAAATATTTGTAATATTTGGCCAATACAGTTTTGGAAATTTGTTTAAATTCCTCTCCCAGAGTTACTTTGTAAAAACCTTGCAATTACATATGTGATGTAATTTACTTTATTGTGCAAATATTGTTTCATGTTAATGGATAATAATGTTTATCTTCGGTTATATATGAACATTGTGGCTTACATACGCCGAAATATATTTAACTATATTAATGCTGTCTAAGTTTGAGTGTTATTACGTGTACATCATTTGCTCTTTGTAGGGATCGTGTTGTTGTTACATGTTTGCCTTCTTAATCATTTTGAATGCTTCCGAACCTCAACCATGACTGTATAAACTGACATTCCAATCCCATGGACAATTTAAATGTCAAAATACATGTGTAGAAGTTTATAAGCTCTTGTGCAATGTCATGCCTAGTCCATCCTATAAATCGGAAATGAAAATATGGCCAAAAGGAAGTCCTGACTGTGCTGAATTCTTGAGATTCCTATGTCCTCTGGTTGACACACCACTGAGTCAAAAAAGCAAAAAAAAAATTTATTGTTTCCGGCACATTAAATAAACCAACCGTTGCAACTGAACATACCATTGTAATCTTTCTACCCAGCTACACAAAATCTACATGCATTTCCAAGAGATTATCTAAACCATAGTCTGTATTTTTTACAAGGGCGACATTTTTTCAAAGTTTGTATGAAAACTGTCAGTGGTGGCTCTTGGTATAGTAGAAGAACATCGCTGAAATGAATTACTGTTTATAGAAGTTGTTACTGCAGTTTATAAACAGTATTCGGCAAATAACCTAACTAGTGTCTGTAATTCCTTAAACTTAATGGGATACATTTTGGAATTCACAAATAATGCTTTTTTTAAAATATGGGACAGGACAACTGATAATGTTAGCAAGGTACAGTATACGCACTGGCTTATAATTATAGGAACGTATTTCCATGACATGTTTTGAATACAATCTTTTATGTTAAGCATTGTTAGATTTTCTTTATTGCAAGATTATGTTACTTTAAACTATACCAGGCATGCCTGCTACAGGATTGAGCAAAGAAGGAAATACAGACAAAAACGATGCATGTCTTCAAATATTTTATTCCCCCGGTGCACAGCTTACACAGAGGCGTGTGTGTCAAGTCTCCATTGTGTACGTGCCGGTTTGCACTAACATGCCTCGACAGTCACGCCAGCTCTGGCCGAGCAAAAATGTGCAAGTTGTGCTTGGAGCACATAACGAGCTGAGGTTTTGAAATAAAAAAAGTATTCCTTGCGTCAAGATGCATAACCTAACAGAAAACAATTGCGTGACCTATTATGATACTGTACCAATTGGCAATCACATTACTTAAATATGGCAGTGTAAAGCATTAACGTGTCACCTTTAAGCTGTGTAAAGAAGCACTGTCTGTAATTTTCTGGAACTGGAACTATTTGAGTATAACCCCCCCTCCATTTTGTATTTTCATTACCGAAGGTGATGTGCAGCGCATTATGCTAAATGTCACGTCCATACAACATTTTGCAGGAAAAAAAATCATAAAATTATTGCACTGACATTCCACATGGATAGAAATAGTATTTTTTCACGTATGTTTCAGCATAAAAAAAAATCTATCACGAATAAGAAGAAAGTGAAACTAGCAGGGACACGTGCATGCCCACCATTCATGATATGTCTGGACGTGCAGTGGTCCTAAATCTTGAAGGTGAACAATTTCTATTATAAGATACGTTACTAAGTGCTGATTAATTGTCTCCTGGGATAACTGCTTGAAATCATGCTTTACAAATTATCTTAGGCATTTCGATTTAAAGGCATGTCACATTGGAAAGTGGTTTATTTGCATAGCGCATGGAGATAACTCCAATCATATTACAGTGCAGCCATGTGCTAGAATTGAAAATGTGATGCTTAATACTGAAAATATAGGCATGTTTGAAAATTAAAGGGCATATTGGGATACCTGGTTTGACATTAAGCATGCTTTCATTTGCATCAAGATAATATTGAATTATTGTCCTCAAGAAAGCGAAACTTAAAATACGATAACAAGAAATTCAACATAGTCATAAGTTTTTTTCTCTGGATAAATAGTAAAACCTTCAAATGCTTCTGTGACCATTTGAGTTGTCCTATAAGTGTTGCAATGAAGTAAATATATTTTGAGATTTAGTACCCTGTTCTAAAGCAGAATAGAAGTGAAAAAGATTACCCGAGTACAGTACTTTGTACACGATGCTAGTTTTGTAATGAATTAAGAATGCGTGTGGTCACACCATAAGGCAGCTCGTCCACTGCAGATGACCCAACTCCGATCACATTTAATGGACACGATTACTTATGAAACCCAGTAAAGTGGTTTACACGCCGCTTCATCTGTCTGAGGTTAAAACGGTGTACGTGCACATATTCACGCGCACCAATTCGCGCATGCTCTGGCACTACAATTTGCCGCTGGAATGAACTGTATTTAAGAAAGTTTGAACTCGGGCAACGATGCATCACCATTCTGAAAGACTTGCTCTGTCTTTGCCGCGGTGTCATCGTGGCACCGCATAAGAGGGGCGATTAAAAGCTTAAATATCTCTCAGAAATGATTATTTTCACACACTTTTTTTCACGTGTGTATCAGAGTTGCTATAAATGAAGTAATGTTTAAAGTAAATTTTAATTTTGTTGCATTAACTTATTTATTACATGCTTTTTTTCAAATATGGTCCAATATAAAATAATAATCATAAAAATAACAATGTACACCATTAATATTCAACGAGTGGAAGGTTCAATTTGAATGTAGGACATGTAATTCATTGCTGTGTTTCTTTAGCTTTAGGTTAATGTGGTTATACCTTTGAAAACCTTTATTGGTATCGAATGACTGTGCGATGTTTAATCTGTAATATGGTCATAAAACAGGAAATGTGAACCCCTCATGTCGTATTGTTAACGTCCTCAGCTGGCGTTCAGGCATGCCCATTGACTAGGCTGGTAGGAATAGCAGCTGGTGAAACATTCCTCCAGTGCGCAGGCGGCTGCTGGGAGCCCATCATTACCTCTAAAGTGTGACACAGTTGTTCCATCCACGCTTGCTCCCTTCCTCTATCCCCCCCCCCCCCCCCCCCCCAGTGCCCAACACATTCCTCAGCGCATTTCCTATTATCCTGCACCCACAAACAGTCACTTAGTCCAATCGTTGGTCTTGGGCAGGGTGGTCTTTGTGCCCAAATGGAT